CTACAAAGTGCAAAGAAATTAAATGGATGTAAGGAGTTTTGCTTTTGCTATTTGGGCAGCATGGTGGAACAGTGGTTAGAGCTGTCGCCTTTCTGGCTGGAGTTTGCATTTTTTTCCCTGTCCACATGTGGGTTTGCTTCAGACACTCAGGTTTCCTYCTACAGACCAAAACATCTGCGTGTTGGGTTCACTGGTAACTCTAAATTGTCCCTAGGTGTGGGTTAGTGCATTGTTGTTTGTCTCTGTGTCCCTATGATGGACTTCCAACCTGCAGGGTGTCCTCTGCCTCTCGCATCCTGCAAATAAGCATCCTATGATGCAAGTGGGATGTGCACACATCGTTTCTAACTGCAGGGGTCAGTAACAGGCTGCAAGTAGACAGTTACAGACCAGAACAGCTAACTTTAGACACCAAAAACTGAAATATGAACATCTAAAATCTACTTTTGATGTTTGCCAGCTTGCCTGAGATCAACTTGTCTAGTCTCAGTGTCAAATACATTGTTACATTCCTAGTCCCAGGTAAACCATGAGTCATAATGTTATTGTCTCCCCACTTCTCACTTCCACAAAAGCTAGTACATCAAACAGAATGTTGTATGATACCTGAAACTTGAACCAAAACTAGGCTATCTGTGGAGAGAGAGCAGGATGAGGTGTCATCTGCAGGTCTGTAAGGGTTCAGTCTAGGCCTGTCATAAAAACTAATTTTGCTGGATGATAAATTGTCTCAGAAATTGTTGCGATAAATGATAATATCTTAAATTTTTTTCTTAGTTTCTAGACACTTTGTTATTTTATGTCTTTACAGTCAGGTATGTCTGTAAAGACATAAAACTCTTCTATCTTCAGGAAAAGTGTGTAAATGAGCTGCGTAAATTCCACCTGTTCGTATCCAGCTGCTCGTGCACGCGAGAGGAGATTAGCATAATTACCACCCCAAAAACACCATATAAGGCTGTGTTTCCTGCCTCAGATACAAGGAAGTGTCCATTCATGAAAATGACAGTGAAAACTAAAAAGAAGAACTTTACGAGTTCAGAGATTAAAGTCCTTCTCTCAGAGATCCAGAAAAATAATCTGTCACTTTTAGCAGCATCAGCTGTGGAATAAAAGGAGCTGCTAAAAGTATGAGACCCATTGAACTTTATTAGATTAAATGATAATATCATTTGGAGACTATTTTAAACTAATATAATGATACCACACACACACTTAATAAGCTTACAGAAGTTTATAAAATTTACGTACGTAAAAAAAGTTACGTACCATTGACATGTACGAACATTATTGTTTAATGAAAAGTTATCAGGATTTTTACCATTTTATCTTGATATTTGTCAGAGAGAATATTCTTGAACATGACGATGCAGTGATCAGTCCTTACCTGGGGTTTTCTAAAAGACATCATTTTGTATCAGCTTTGCGGCACAGCATAATGTTCTAAATCATCTCTAAGACTGACACTTAAACTGTAGTCCTACAGCTTAAAGTGAGACTGAGACACTTGATAACTGACTTTCAAGACCATCTTTGAGAATTGTTTTACATTTAAGTCCATTCTTAACAGCATTCTTAAGCGTAATTCTAAGAAGTTTGATAATTACGGTCTCAAACTGTTTGAACTAATAATTTATTGATCAATCACAAGTACAAGATTTTGAGCAACCAGATGAGGGGTGGAAATGAAAGGAAACTACCTTACATCCGTTGGAACATCATGTGACTGGAAGTGATTTGGGGGACTCTGACTTCAGAGGTGACCTGTGTCTCTCAACATTAGCAGTATTTGTACTTTCTGCTTGGCACTGCTGAATGCACACACGATGGTCATCTGTGGTAACGAAGAACCGAAATTCACCTAACATGACACACCACCACCCATCATCAGTCTTTTTTTCTCACAATTGTGGCATCACTCCTGATGCATCCATCTCTGCTCTGGCATTAATGGCAGCTTCCACGTGGGACTGTGAACCTTTAGTCTTTCTGATACCAGTCCGTGAGACACTGTAGGGTGACACGTGTATGTTTTTACCATCAGATGTCAGGTTAGTAATGCCTGGTGCACATCAGGATAAAGCTGGAAACATACTCCCTGCCAACTGCCAACGTCGGCACGGGTTGTCGCGGTTTAATGACGAAAATTACGTCACCGGGCTTCGCAACGTCGTGTCGACAGCCCCTTTTGGCACAAGCCCCCGGCAGAACTTTTTGACCCCCCCTCCCTTGTCGACGGTAATGTGTGATTGGTCTGAACTGAAAGCGCTCAGACGGACACAGTAGAAGAAAAAAACAAAAACTCACTTCTGACTAGAGCAGACTGTTTGGAGCAGTTTTAAAGATAGACAAACCAAGAAAAACTCATGCGTGTTTGTGCTGACGCGCTATGCAATGCATTGACTTCAAACACTCGGTGAAAAAAAAAAAGAAAAAAAACAACTCGCTCCCTGAGCCGACCAGGAAGCAGAGTTTTATAAAGATAGTCAAACCATGAAAAACTCATGAATGGAGATAAACAGGCATAACAGATAAACAGGCACGGAGGAATCTGAAACTGTGGAGCTTTTTAACCAGGACAGATGTGGATAAAAATTCGTCGGGTGAGAAATTCCATGCAGTGACGTATGTTTCAGCGGGAGGGAGTGGTTCCCCCRAGCTCGTYGGCGCAGTGTGCAGGAACTATGAAAGGTCTGTGCGAAAACAACTGCCAACCAACCATGTGACCGCGCGTCGACCCGTCGGCGTCGGAGCGAGTATGTTTCCGCCTTAAGGCACTTGAGGTGGTTTCTTCTCGGAAGTTGTTGGAGATTTTCCTGGCATGATGTACTGTAACGAAACCTTGGGGCAGACCAAGAACTCACTAAAAGGATTATTCGTTCACCGGCCTGGAAATGTCTGGGATAGTCAATAGCTCAAGGGTGTCACTGGGAAGAGGGATGTCTGGACTTCTGTTCTTGACCTGTTGCCTCCACAGATAATGGATGGATGGATGGATGGATGGATGGATGGATGGATGGATGGATGGATGGATGGATGGATGGATGGATGGACGGATGGATGGATGGATGGATGGACGGATGGATGGACGGATGGATGGACGGACGAACAGACAGACAGACAACAATGACAGTCCTTCTTTGGTGTGGTCTGTCTTGGGGGGACATGTGCATGCTTGTATATACCCCCTAGTTCCAACATCAGGCCTCTATAACATCTGTACATCTGAGCCTGTAACTACCTGATAACACTATAACTCCACTAACAGTGCCACCACGTGTCTGGTCTAGATGTAGCAACTCTTGCTCTGCATTTGTACCAAATTATATCCAAATCAGTTCCTTCCTTCTGAATTCTTAACTTTAATTTTTTGTCAGAAAGTATATTTAGTTTTAATAAGTCCTGGTTTTAGCTAGTTTTGAACAAGTTATTGATGTTGTAGTTTTAAAACGTGGACATTTACCAGTACAACGGACTATGAAATTGTCTTTGTAAGAAGTGAATGTGAAAAATGCATTTTGTTCTCAGTTTCAGCTACTGTATTTTGATGCTCAAGTGACCAACCCTTGTATGGGCTTTTTTATGCAAYTGTAAATGAGTTATTTGTGACAAAAACAAATGAGTAATGGAACCATCTACAAATGAGGCAAAAACTGTTTTTAATATGTTGTAGTATTTTCTAGGAAGTAAACAATCAGTCAGAAAGAAATCCTCCATTCACAGCGCTCATGATGTTATTCAAATTAAAGGGATCCCTGATTAGTTGTAACATTAGACTTTATTTGATAAACATTTATTTTAACTGTAAAATAAAGACCGTAAAAATACTGTAGGTTTGGTTTTGTAAATTTTTAAAAATATATATTTTAACATGGACGGAGCCATTTTATTTACACACAAAGCATTCTGGGTAAATGATGACGTGGATAGGTCCTTGGTGTGAGCGAGCTATATCCACCCTGAAGGTTAATCTTGGACAATATCTGATGATCGACTCTTTTAAATGAAACCAGAGAGCGTTGACAGAGAGGAGAAGGTAGAAATGACTCAGCCTGTAACTGAAAATATAGATGGAGGACAACAGAGCTGCTTCATGGAAGAAGAACCTCAGCTTAGCCTGTTAACTTTAGCTTTAGAGCCAACGCTATATTGCCTTAAATGTATTAGCCCGGCGCCAGTTTAACAAACAAGCTAAACTGGGGTTCTTCTTCCATGAAGCAGCTCTGTTGTCCTCCATCCATATTTTCAGTTCCAGGCTGAGTCATTTCTACCTTCTCCTCTCTGTCAACGCTCTCTGGTTTCATTTAAAAGAGTCGATCATCAGATATTGTCCAAGATTAACCTTCAGGGTGGATATAGCTCACTAGCAGCCTTGCACTGATGACCTACCCACGTCATCATTTACCCAGAATGCTTTGCATGTAAATAAAATGGCCCCGTCCATGTAACGTATTTTTAAACTTTTAGTTTAAAAATTATAAAAACTAAACATCATACAGTATTTTTACAGTCTTTATTTTACAGTTAAAATATATGTTTATTAAATAAAGTCTAATGTTACAACAAATCGTGGCTCCCTTTAAGTACATTTCAAATATTTGATTATCACAGTAAAAAATTAAAATAAGAAATTTAAAATGTAAAGCTATTATCACAATAGTTTTTTATTTATTTCTGTTAACTTTTCGTGTTAATCAAACTAACTGAGCTTTATTTTTTTGTACATATTCATGCATTTTAGTCAATTTGTCATTTTAAGTTAAATTCAAGCAGTTTTTTTATATTTATCTCTTCTTGTTGTAACACATATATTAATATGTTTTCCTGTTCTCTGTAGAATAAATAAAAAGAATAAGGGATGAAAGCTAATGAGAAATCAAGAGGATGGCRCTCCCCTCTTTTACACCTTCATCCCCCTCCCCCGATTCCCTCCACCTCACTGCACATAAAAAAAAGCTCATCCAGGCTGAGTGGACAGCCTGCCAGCCAATCAGCTCCTCGCTCGCTGATTCTGTCATCAGGCTTGGATATTGAGGAAGGATTCACAGCTCTACTGCTGCTGCCTCTGCTGTTCTCACTGTACCCGTCCGTGGAAGCCTGCTAAAAATGAAAAGCCGGGATCGGAACACYTCCGTGGAGAGCCGCTCCGTCCTATAATGTGAGTCAGCCGGCAGCACACACGCGGATCAGGGAGACGCCGCATCCATCTCGTGCCTCTGGAGGACCAGTCGTGATCCAACAGGAGAAGAGATTTATATATTTTTAATTTTTTTTTCTCTGCTGTGGAGAGGGAGGATTGTCGTCATCCCTCCCTCACATCCATCCTTTCTCTTTCTCTCTCTGGTACCCCCTCCTCTCTCCTCCGCCTCCACTCTCATTTATTCCCCCCCTCATTCTTTTAGAGGCGCTTGTTGGAATATTAAACCTCCATGTATGACAATTTGTACCTGCATGGATTTGAAGACTCGGAGGCGGTGAGTGTTCTCTCTCTCTCTCTCTCTCTCTCTCTCTCTCTCACATGCACACACGCACACACACATACGCACGCACACACACACACACAGAGGCCTATGATGGGTGAGCCAGCAGTACAGTGAAGTGTGATCCTGGGCTATGCTCGGCTAGAAGGGGGCTGGGAGGGTGTGTAAAGAAGGGGAGGGTTGGTGCACATCAAGCAGACAGATTTTGCTGTGCCGTGTTAACACGATCCCTAACGTTCAGATGTGCTGAAAATGTGGCTTCAGCCTGACTGTGGAAACAAACCCARTAGTCCACCACACACACTCCTCACATCTAAGAGACGAGCCGTGCTTTCGATTCTCAGCGGACGACCGAAAGATGTGGAACGACCCCTCCGTCATCCCCCTTTCGGGCCATCGCTGGAATATCAAACCGCGGGTCACGTTTCCTGCATTCGCCCTCCTCGAAGACACCCAGCTGAGTATTTCTCATCCCTGCGACTGCGTGGTGCGCTGGCTCTGACGAGGCTCGGAGGAACATGCGTCGTGATGTCATTAAGTGGACTCAGGATGCTGATGAGTCACATGCTGAAGCTACTCCACTGAATAAGAGCTCTGATGATACGGTGCACTCTGAAATCTTCCGCACTGATTCAGTRCATGACGACTTTTTAGACGTTGGCTTGACTGCAGTTTGCCTGATTATGGTTCTTTAAGTGTTGTAAATGTGATTTTTGACTCTATGTACTCTGTGGTAGATGGGAAAAACTAAAGCACTGAATGAACTTGTATGAACAAAAGTTAAAGAGTGAATTTGTCTTTTTTTGTTCTTTGAATTCCATCTAGTTGTAAACTTGTTTTTTGGATGACTGAGGGTTGATTTTCCTGGACCTGATATGATTTGAAATTAACAAAGTTTTGTCCTTATATAAACAGCTGAAGAAATCCCCAAACAGCCAGCAGTAACAGTTTAATCCTATTTTCCTTCAGTTAGGTGTTCTTGGAAACCTTTTGCAAAGCAAGACTCTGAGATGGATGCGCACAATCCGGATAAGCAGTGTGCTGAAGTCAGGCTTTCCTACTGCTTACTTGCCTTTTAAAAGGAAAAAAAACTGCTTAGCTGTGATGACTAATTTGATTGATCTTCTTGGGACTAATGGTTCTCCTTAATTGAATCATCATTAGGAGCTGATTGTTTAAGTTAAAACAGCAGAAGGAAGCACTTGATCCAGTCGTGTCCTGGTATTAAAAATGTTGCATTGAAGGAGTTTTGAAAGAGTTGGAGTTATTGCGAGCGTTGTGTCTTTAAAATGCATGTCTTTTTTTTAAAGAAGCTGTCCTTTGTGGTATGTAGTGAAACTGTGATGACTGTAAAGTTTGATTGTGCAGCTCCATTTTGTACAGTTCTGATCCCTTATTCAGTACACTTTACATATTTTGTCCATCGTATTTCATGTAACGKCAAAAATCAAAGAAGTTGAGAAAATTCAGAAAGTGTAATAATTGAGTTCACATTCAAATGAAAACTTTGTCTGAGATGCTTTTCGGTTTGTTCTCTGCATTAAGCAAGCTAATACACCCCCGAAACCTCAATAAATAATCTGATTATCAACTTTTCCATTTGTTATGTAAAGCATTTTAAATGCTTTGGGACAAGGCTACTGTATGTCCTTGTTCTTTCTTTTTAAATGGCCTGTGTGAAACCATGTGACTGCCTGAACCTCAGGGCCTGTCCAAAAGACATTCGAGGTCATTCGGCTGCATCTGTCCTCACTTTTTGAAATACTCTGGGTCAGTTTGGACTTTCAAAGTCTTTTACTTTAGATTCTCCTTTAAATAGAAGTGTTTTTTCTAATTCTGGCCATGCAGCATTTGAATTTTCAACAACAACAAAAAAATACTGCTTGCATAAAAACATTAATAATGTTCTTGTTGCGCTTTCTGTCCGCAGGGCTCAGCTGATTCCTATACTAGCAGACCATCAGACTCAGATGTATCTCTGGAGGAGGAGCGGGAGGTGCAGGCCCAGGTCCAGAGCCAGAGCCCAAGCCAGAGCCAAGGACCGGGACAGAGCCGTCAGGAGAGGGAGCAGCAGGCTGCCATTCAACTGGAGAGAGCCAAGGTAGCCAACCTGCGACCCCAACATGCTAAAACTCAACCACATTAAAACGTTTTATTTCTCACCAAACCTGGTTTCCATCCCACAGAGCAAACCAGTAGCGTTCGCTGTAAGGACCAATGTCAGCTACTGTGGTGCTCTGGATGAGGACGTTCCTGTCCCRGCCACAGCCATCTCTTTTGACGCCAAGGACTTCCTCCACATAAAGGAGGTAAAAATCTTTACCGTCTCATTTCTACAGCACCGAGTCGCAACTGAAACGCTGTATGTCTGAGAGAGGGTTTAATGGTCTGTTCTCTGTATTTTGATGCATTCAGAAGTTCAACAACGACTGGTGGATCGGTCGTTTGGTGAAGGAGGGCTGTGAGATCGGCTTCATTCCCAGCCCTCTGAAGCTCGAGAACATCCGGCTCCAGCAGGAACAAAAGAGAGGACGAGTACAAGGGTAAGTAACTTAAACCACCGTCTCATCTCTCTGTTTCATACTTAAAAAAAATAAACCTTGTAGCTTGACAGATACCATGGTCAATGTAGGCAAGATAAAAATATAATTATTGTTTTCATTACAAGTGCTGGAACTAACCAGAAAACGATGAACGCTTTATATATATACTGTATGTA